TTTTTTTTACTACTACTACTAGTACTACCTTTTTTTTTTTTCTTTTTTTTTCCTTCTACTACTACTACTACTACTACTACCCTTTTTTTTTTCTTTTTTTTTAAACTACTACTACTACTACTTTTTTTTTCTTTTCTAATTACTACTACTACTACTTCGACCATTGTATGTGTAGAACGTGGCCTCTACAACAACCTGGGCTTTTTTAAAAGGAAAAAAGAAAAGGAAACAGCTGAGAGGAATGAGTTTTCCCCAAGGGATTGCGAGGGGTAAGAGAGCGAGCCTATGGACCTGAGGGCCTGCTAGTCTACAGGCTTACCCTGGATGTATCCGGCCGCAATGACGGCCAGATTCAGTCAGTCCAATCTTAACATATGTCCCCTAAAAATAGACGAAGTATCCTACAACAGTCCTATATCGTTCACATAAAAAAAGACCTGTGAATAGAAAACAAACAACCAGACATCCAAATCAGTTTTCTTTTCTATTAAAAAAAAAAAAAGCAATTGAAAACAAACATCTAGAAAGAAAGAAACCACAAACACGTCGACACGCTTAGTACTACACATAGGGCCTCGCTCCAGTCCTTCACGCTTCACGTTCGACAGGTATCTGGACTGAAACGGGGACCGGATACATTTGGACTGATCGAACATTTGAATGTACCGGGAAGATTACTAGGTCCAGATGCATCTCGACTATTATGGAGTGGAGCGCGGCCCATAGTACGGAGTATTTAAATCCATGTCTCCGACTCTCCCCTTCTATCTCTTAATAATAATAAAAAAGAAGAAGGAAAAAACATCTCTCTACAGCAATCGACACCACACGCTATAGTACCTATGATACAATGTGCAATGTCAGTGCTCTCCGTTTCTTTTCTTTTTTTTTCTTCCTTTTTTTTTTTTTTTTGGGTAAAAAAAAGGGCGATGGCCTTGAGATATCATCATGGAGCTGACCGGGCCCCAACCAATTCAGAAATATTGTTTGGTTTTATTTTTATTTATTTATTTTTAAACATTGTTTGGTTTTACAGTTTTACTCATCAATCAAGTTCCATCATCATCTGGGCCGAGGTCCCACTAGCAAAGAGGATTGGATTAAGCTCCTGAATCTGGACGTGTTTCAACCAGAGATTCATAAAAGCAGTTCAAGCTCGATACTCTGCACCTTTGCACAAACGCGTCCAGATTCAGGCGTCCAATCCAATCCTCTGCGCTGACCTCGGCCCTGGATTCGAACCCTGGGGCCGAGTCCCACTAGCAGCGTTAAGTTTCCTCAACGCCTGAATCTGGACGTGTTTGTGGAGACGTCCGGTTGAGAAAACTCAATGTTGTTTTTGCACATTTCCACAAACACGTCCAGATTCACGCGTTGAGGAAACTCAACGTTGCTAGTAGGACTTGGCCCCGTGTCTGTATTTCAACAGTTCATGGGTGTACCCGCTGAGCTAGGTATGACAATGCTCTCCGATTATAACGAATACACCTAAGCGTATGACAACAATTGGTGTACCTACCTAACCCGCAGCACGTGGCGACAGTAGCTCAGAAGTAAAAAAAAAAAAAAAAAAAAAAAAAAAA